AATCTGGTTATAGATAAACTGTTTATGGTAAATCAATTACTTTAGCAATCCTGAATGTACAACTGGCAAACAAATATGTGATTTGATCCCTGTAATTCCCATTCTAGACAAGGTGATCAATCGTCTTTGTATGAAGATGTATTAGCCTTTGGTATTTAAAATTTGCCTGTTTAATCGGTATTTACAGTCTTCATTAGAATCTTGTAATTTCAACCTGTCACTTTTTTCCTAAGGTGTGGTGTGTGGAGCAGTGTGACATAGTGGTTAAAGCTGACAAATGTGAATCAGGAGCTCAGAAATTCTATTCATGGCAATGCCACAGGGTCTCTGGCTCTGATCAAGTCATTTAGCCTCACAGTACTTCAGTTTCTCCATCTGTACAATACTTATATAGTACTTACAGTGTATTTAGATCTGTGGATGAAAGGTTCTGCATATAAAGTATTAATTATTTTAATAAAGGACAAAGCCCTAATTGTAAGCAGGTCTTAATTATAACTTCTTATACCTATAAAATACACTTTTTTAAATAGTATAATTGTAATAATAAATTAATCTTTTGTCATTTTCAAGACCTGTACATTAGCTTGCAAAGTGACAGATAATCATATTATTCTCTTCCTTGTTCACTTTTCCTCCCTGTATTCTTGTCTTCTATTCTGTTCTCATTTTAGTTTAGGACCTGATTCTAGAAATGCTCACTTGTTAGGCCCATGAAATTCAATTAATTAAATTCTTTAAGTGAGAGAAATTGCTCACATGTGTAAGTGTTTGCAGGATCAGACCTCTAGACTGTAAATTCCTTAGAGAAGATCTGTTTTTATCTGAGTTATAAAACACCATACACCATGGAATGCGTTACCTAGGGAGTTGGTGGAGTCTCCTTCCTTGGAGGCTTTTAAGGCCCGGCTTGACAAAGCCCTGGCTGGGATGATTTAGTTGGGAATTGGTCCTGCTTTGAGCAGGGGGTTGAACTAGATGACCTCTTGAGGTCCCTTCCAACCCTGATATTCTATGATTCTATGTACGGCCCTATGTAAGTAATAAAAAAGCGTATCACCTTAGCCAGAGGAGAAAAAGGATGCAGTGTTCATTCTTTTTTGTGGACTTCACAGAAGTGTAGCCGTTATCTTACTGCTACTCTTTAGTCCTCTATGTAGCCCCTTGCTTTCCTAACCAAATACACTCACTTCCTCCACTTGCAAGAGAAATATGGACAATATGGGGGTCATAGTGGATCACAAGCTAAATATGAGTCAACACTATAAGACTGTTGCAAAGAAAGCACACATCATTCTGGGATGTATTAGCAGGAATGTTGTAAGCAAGACACGAGAAGTAATTCTTCTGCTCTACTCCTAGGGTGACCAGATGTCCCGAGTTTATAGGGACAGTCCCGATATTTGGGGCTTTTTCATATATAGGTGCCAATTACCCCCCACTTTGTCCCGATTTTTCACACTTACTATCTGGTCACCCTATCTACTCCACACTGATTAAGTCTCAACTGGAGTACTGTGTCCAGTTCTGGGCGCCACATTTCAGGAAGGATGTGGACAAATTGGAGAAAGTCCAGAGAAGAAGAACAAAAACTATTAAAGGTCTAGACAACGTGACCTATGAGGGAAGTTTGAGGAAAATTGGGTTTGTTTAGTCTGGAGAAGAGAAGACTGAGAGGGGACATAACCGTTTTCAAGTACATAAAAGGTTGTTACAAGGAGGAGGGAGAAAAATTGTTGTTCTTAACCTCTGAGGATAGGACAAGAAGCAATGGCCTTAAATTGCAGCAAGGGCAGTTTAGGTTGGACATTAGGAAAAACTTCGTAACTGTCAGGGTGGTTAAGCACGGGAATAAATTGCCCAGAGAGGTTTTAGAATCTGCATCATTGGAGATTTTTAAGGGCAGGTTAGACAAACACCTGTCAGCCATAGTATTATCTAGACCATACCTATATCTACACTGGCAATTGAACGACATAACTTTTGTCTTTCAGAGGTGTTCACCCCTCCACCCCCCGGTCCCTGAAAGACAAAAGTTTTGCCGCGACATGTGCCAGCGTGAGCAGCGCATTGTCAGCAGGAGAGCCGCTCATTGGGTGTGGACGTTTTTTGGCAGGAGATCCGACAGACAGTGGCTACGCTGCACGACTTTTAGTGGCACGGCTGTAGTGATACAGCCATGTCGCTAAAGCTGTGTAGTGTAGGCATAGCCTTAGTCCTGCCATGAGCGCAGGAGACTGGACTAGATGCTACTGGAGGTCCCTTCTGGTTCTACGATTCTATAATTCTTCTCCAAAGTTATCTTCAATTACTGTGGTTTTCCTCAGCTGATAGAGGGCTTTCGAAGAGCAAAGTGATCCTGGATCATAAAAATAAAGGGAGTTTTTTCCATTGGCTTGAATAGGAGCAGAACAAAGCCTTTCAGCCGTGAGTAGCATCTATGTGCCAAGACTCCCTTGATTTCCACAATGCTAGTCGCTACAGCTCAGAGGTCAGTTTCACCAGACTTGTTTGTACGGCAGTAGTTACTCACCATGGAAGAAATGGCTTCACCTGACTGTATGAAAGCAGCGATAAATTCATTACATTCTGAATATGGCCAATAATGAGCCAAAAGACTGGTTTATTAGTGGAAAAGATACAGAGCTAAAGGTTTCATGGGTCTTGCTAGAATGTTTGAAGTACTGTTTCTGTTTTTGCATATAAACAGAGAGCTTGTTTTTTCCATGTGTTGTCTCTTTCACTACTTAATAAAGATAGAAGCTTCAACACTGTAAAAAAAAATATCTTTGCAATAGATTCTTGCTGTTCTTGGCTCCAGAAGTTTCCAAAATGGATGATAAATTGTCAGGAGGAGTGAGCTATACATCACTGGAAAAGCTCTCCTGATAAGCCAAAGAGCAAATAACTCTAAGACATGCAGATATCTATATTTATAGATGGTAACCATGGATGGTGGCAAAAATACAATTACTTTTCACAGTGCCCCCAAGCAAGTTGGCAGATATCTTGTGGGGGAAGGGGGAAATTCTCTCTCTCACTCTCTAAAATTTGAATACATTCATTCCTACCGCTCCGTGAGGAAATGTCAGTGTCTGGGGTTTTATTAGTTGGCAAGAGCTACTATGACTAAATCTCAAAAGACTACTTTAAAAAAAAATTGCATGTATTTATATATAATATTTCTTGTCCGCCAGAAAAATTCTGATCAATCCATGTATGGTCTGTATTTGCAAAGTGCTGCTAGCTGCTTGCTCAACATTACTGGAAAACTGCATAGCTGTAAATGCATTCACTTACTTGTCAGAACTCAGAGTTCCCATGTTAATCATAACAAGTATGTGCAGAGAGGAACTGACCCAGCCTCTGCCAATAATCCCACTCTCTGATCCTGGTAACATCTGTGCTGGATTTTCTTCCTTTATATAATTAGATCCATTGATGTTTTCTTAGTATTTAGCATACAGTTCGGTATGTTACTCTGAAAGTACAAGCTAAAAATGTATTTTAGGAGTGAGCAAGCTTGGGAAATAGCTGATGGAACTGATTAGCTTTAATTAATGATACTTTAATATCTGTAGCATTATTTTTTTAAAATCTACAGTACCTGTTCATTCTGTGGAAATTCCACTATTCTTGAATTTTTAGAATATTTTACTTTTAAAAAAGATAACTGTAGCTCTTCTCATCATTGGTTTACATTAAAGCCTGTGCCAAATAATTTTAATCTGAGATGTAAAACTGTAAAATAAATGGACAGACCAAAATAAATAAATAACCCTACTGTTATGAAAAAGAAATGTAATTAGAACCAGACTTACTGTAAACACATTCAACTAGGTTTAAAGTCCTTGCTTTTGAAACTGTAATCACTGTCTGACTATGTGTGAGAGAACCAAAGGAGCATGTTTTGATTGTGAGATAATGCAGTTGTACTTATAGCATTGATCAACATCTACCTCATAGTCAGAACTCTCTGAATTAGGTCATGCACACCTCAGCGGTCAGCAGGCTTCATTTGTTACCTGATTTGCTTCTCTAATAATTTGAGGTGATATATATAATTATCAAGAAGGGCTGTTTCTAATCAAACAATTTCTGGTAACCAAGTCAGAAAATGTAAGCATCTGATGCATGTGCAGTTTTCCAGAAATCACAGCTTTCTGGCTTGTAGAAACTTAAAGCTGCAGGCCAAAACTGAAATCCATACATATATAGGTGAGATTTGTGAATAGGCACTTTGAAAATCCCACCCTTAGGTGCCTAAATGTGGACATAAGAGCCTAATTTTAAGATCCCATCTTTGAATAGGTTGATCAGTGTTAAAACAAAGTAGAACAGGCCCAGTTCACAAGTACTGTAAATCAGGGTAGGTCTAATGACATCACTGGAGGTATGTTGATTTACATCAGCTGATGATCTCATCCGTTGTATTCAGAACACTATAACTTGCATTGTGGAGATAGTTTTACGCTAAACTAGTGTAGGAATATTTGGGGATTACTTTTAACCAATGGACTCTGGTCTAATCTGAAGATTGCAATAGCGCATTGATGTGCCTATTTATTTAAAAAAAAAAACTGCTTTGAGACCATTTATTCTTCATTTCCAAGTCTCTCCTGTTGTCTGCTGCAAGTAATTTTGAAATAACTGTTATATCCTTAACATTTATTTACATCTACTTAGAGCTGGATGAAAGCATTTTGACTAATTTTTACCATATTTTTTCCATCAGTTTTTCAATGGGTACGTACTTTGATGTCTGTGTATGAGGCATTTGCCAAATTCGATAAATAGTTGAACATCCTCCATTAAGTAAAATATTTGATGAATGTGACTGCTTCATTTTGTCAATAGTGTACTTGAATATTTCTGGAGGTATATGATCAGCTCTTGATACAGTAGCATTACTTCAGTTGACAGTCTACACCCTTTAGGTGACTTGGCAATTTTATATTGACTTCAATTTGCATGAACAAACTTCTTCTTTCCTCCCTCAGTGTTTGATTATTGGAGGTGGTCCATGTGGTTTGCGGACTGCCATAGAACTTGCCTTTCTGGGAGCCAAGGTTGTAGTTGTGGAGAAACGGGACACTTTCTCAAGAAACAATGTGCTGCATCTCTGGCCTTTTACAATCCATGACCTCCGGGGTTTGGGGGCGAAAAAATTTTATGGAAAATTCTGCGGAGGATCTATTGACCATATCAGTAAGTACCAGTGACTATATGGAAATGTACAATTTTGTTGAATGCTTGCTATGCAGAAGACTTGCTTCAGAAATATTAATAGCGATCTTCTGGACTTGCTGTGTAGTGTTTCTTTACCAAGATAGTAATGATACATCCTGAATACACACACAGAGAAAAATCCCCAAAGTCAAGCACTTCTGATTTGCCAAAATTGCATAATCTTATTTGAACGATAACCTAAGCTCCTCATCTAAAGCTTTAAGGGAAACCTTGTGTGGACGTTTTTTTAATTGCTGTCCAGAACCAGTTTAACAGACTTCATTTTAGGATGCCTTTAAAAGCAGGTGGGATGGAGGAGAGTGACATCTGATTGTGTGGCTATCTGTTTTCATTTGAATGTGTATTCATCACAGTATAACTAGATGTAATTTAGATGTATGTTTGACTAATATGAGTTAGATAGTGGGTTGGTAAACAAATGTCCTTGTATATGAAGGTTGAAAGCTTGGCCCACAGAAGTCAATGCGAGTTTTGTCACTGACTTCTTTGGGACAGGATTTCACCCATAATATCCAAACATAAGGATACAGGACATACTTTTACACTGATAAGCCTCCTGAACAAGTAGACAGACCACTCTAGGGTATTTGCCTGATTGCTTGTATGATTCAAAAGGATGTCACCACCACCTGTGTGTGTGTGTGTGTGTGTTTTGTAAAGAATTAAAAAAAATGGCGGGGAAGAGAGGAGAAAACACCATCCAGGCCACTATGGATGTAGAAGCCCTCTACACCAACATTCCACACAAAGATAGATTACAAGCCATCAGGAACAGTATCCCTGATAATGTCATGGCAAACCTGGTGGCTGAACTTTGTGACTTTGTCCTCGCCCACAACTATTTCACATTTGGGGACAATATATACCTTCAAGTCAGTGGCACTGCTATGGGTACCCGCATGGCCCCACAATATGCCAACATTTTTATGGCTGACTTAGAACAATGCTTCCTCAGCTCTCGTCCCCTAATGCCCCTACTCTACTTGCACTACATTGATGACATCTTCATCCTCTGGACCCATGGAAAAGAAGCCCTTGAGGAAT